TTGGCCTGCAAATTCCCCTGACCTGAACCCCATAGAGAATATGTGGGGTATTGTGAAGAAGAAGCTGAAAGACACCAGACCCAACAATGCTAATGAGCTAAAGGCCGCTATTGAAGCATCCTGGGCATCCATAACACCTCAGCAATGCCACAGGCTGATTGCCTCCATGCCACGCCGCATTGATGCAGTAATCCGTGCAAAAGGATTCCCAACCAAGTACTGAGTGCATTAATGGACATTTTCAAATGTTTGATTGTGTTTTGCTGTTATAAATCTTTTTTTTTTACTTGGTCTGAGGAACTATTCTAATTTTTTGAGATAGGATTTTTGAGTTTTCTTAAGCTGTATGCCATAATCAGCAATTTTAAAATAATAAAAGGCTTGCAATATTTCAGTTGATTTGTAATGAATCCAGAATGTATGACATTTTTGTTTTTTTAATTGCATTACAGAAAATAAAGAACTTTATCACAATATTCTAATTTTCTGAGACAGTCCTGTATAGCCTAAAAGCTATCCAACCACTTTAACACCAAACGTGCATACAAAAGGTGTGTTACTGCCAGTGTTGGGGTAGTTACTCAAAAAAGGTAATCCCTTACTTTTCTAAATTAAAAAAGAAAGATGGAGATTCCACTGTGGAAGCCATGGAAGAATAATGAAACTGGCAACATGTCCTCCACGATGTTTGCTGAGCCTGTTTATCTGACATATCTGCTCCGTTTCCTCAGCCATTACATAATTACTGCTGAACCAACAGTAACGCGTTATATTACTGCGTTCCAGACTAATTACTCTGTGTTACCCCCAACACTGGTTACGGTATTTGGTCAAACTGAAATGGCCAAATATTGAATTGCAAGTGCCTACATATTGTTCACCACAATATTCACTGGGTGTCAAATATCCAGAGTGAACATTATGGGTCCAATAATGTCTGTTATCACAAGAGTGGCAGTCTTGTTGATTTGAGTCCAGGAATTCCCTTATTATATCCTATAAGTTGCTTAAGTTGGGTACCAGTACATGTATATTTGGAGAAGCTGACCTCTCCCCCCCTTATGTCTGCAGTGCTGAGCAGCAGCGATGCCCCCCCTGGTGCGTTTCCTAACACCACAGACTCCTCCACACAGACCACCCAGCCCACGCTGGCTGTCAGCACCCAGGGCCAGGTCACGCTGCGGCGGAGCCACACCGACAGCAGGCCGCCCCGTAAACCACGGCCCTCCTCCATGGTGGACTACAACAGCTACAGACACACACAGCAGCTGGTCAGGAGGATCCTGGAGCAGCCGGCCGCCCAGGGACTGACCCCTGAGGTGCAAGAGCTGGTGGACAGCATCCGGACCGTCCTGCAGTCCGACCAGGAGCACATGGAGGAGGCGGTACGCTGCGCCAGCTACATAGAACAGGTAGGAGGGGAAGCCGCTTTATCCACCACGCTCCCAAACTGTGGAACACCCTACCTGGAAATATCAGAGAGGCCAACTCAGTGGACAATGACAGCTAAAGAGAAATCTTTTTAGATTTGCTTTTTATTAGCGACACCCCACTTTATTGGTCTTTGAATCTTGATTATTTATTTATTTGTATATTGCTTTATTTATTTTTATAGATTTTATAGGTTTTTACTTGTATTTTTATTTTACAATTGTATTAGTGACATTCCCTTTTAAGTTGGTCTTTTTACCAGAAATAAACAGTTATTACCAGATAACAGAAAGCCTGGTCCTGACTATAACCTGGGTGTCCTGAATAAAATCCTCTTTTTAATGTTCAGTGTGTGTTCAAACTGTTTTAAAAAGGACTTGATTTAAATGTTGGATACTTTAGGAGGATGTAGTTTGAGCTGTTGTAGATCTCTGTATATTCTCTGTTTGCCTTCAGGTGTTCACAGACTCAGAGATGGGTCCCGGGCAGCCCAAACCTTCCCAGCAGGCAGCAGGCAGCCACTCCCAGACGTTCCCTCGCCCCCCCAGGAGAAGGGCCGGTCTGCTGCACCTGCAGAGCTGCGGCGACCTCAGCTCCTTCACCTGTGAGGCGATAGAGTCTGCAGAACATCGAGGAAGCAGAAGAGTTGGGGCCAGGGCAGGGTCCAGGGCAGGGTCCCGCCTGGAGCACCCTGAGCGCCCCCACAGTCTGATCGGAGTCTGCAGAGAGACGGTTCTCTAAAGGGGAAAACCAAATGTATTCAAATATGTGGAAACACAGCTAGATGCTGCTTAATCTGTTGCTAAACTTTGAGAGAAAACTGTTGTAGTATAACCACTGAGGAGGATCTGCAAGTGTGTGTGTGTGTGTGTGTGTGTGTGTGTGTGTGTGTGTGTGTGCGTGTGAGCATTTTAATCTTTTTTTAAATTGCTTTGCTCTACTGTACTTTAGCATTCAAAGTTGTGTATGCTTTAAGGTTTTAACATTGTTATAATTTAGCATTTGTTCCTCTCAACTCATACAGCTATGTTGTTCACCATACAGTATAGTATGTTGTTTTCTAATGGTCAGATGCAATGGGCTAAATATTTCAGATATTCTACTGATATTTACTAATATTTCAGAATTTAAACAAAAACATGTACATTTTGAATTTTTTACATATATTAGAAAATAGAACAAAGTGGTGATAAGAGCTCAAAGATCTTGCTAATAATAATAATAATTATAAAACTATTTTAATACTTAATTATATACAGTACTATAATTATAAAAGGCTATAGACCAGGGATTCTCTGGCTATAGACCAGGGACCCTCTGTCCCAGTTAACTTAACTGTGGCAGTTCCAGTGCAATTCATTGACTACGTTCCAAAACGTTAAAAACATTGAAGTGTGGGAACGCATGTGAAGCTTACGATGACAAAGATAAGCATGTTTAAAATGACTGTTTCTGTCCCTGTTATTTATTGGCAAGCTAAGTTAGAACATTGCAGATTGGAAATACAAATGTTGGTTGATTAATTTAGCTCTCATACTGTTTCTCACATTCTCCATGTCACTGGAGTGCACTGCTGTGTTAATCTTTGAAGCAGATTCTTGAGTGCGAGGGGTTTCCCATCTTCACTCGGGGTTCAAACTGTGGGGAGAGGAGTTCTGAGGACATTGCCCTCCTTTTCTGAATGGTAAATGTGAAGTTTCTGGCACACCACAAGGGCAAGCTGTCAAGCTAGGTACTCAGTGCACAGCGGGATTATGATGGAGGTCAGGCCACGTTCAGTATGCTCCCTCAGTTTGAGCTGACCGAGGAACGGCACTTCAGCCAATAAATGAAACATGCTTTGTCAGTACCCTCAGTACAGTACACCTTCTATAAGCACACAGAGGGCCAGGGTGTTGTGTTATTCCTGTATGTGCCTTTCACTGACTGGACATTTCAGCTGTTGTCATGCCTTTTATGAACATGTGCACATAGAGATCATTGTATATTAAACGTTATTAACACTGTCCTGATTCTATAAAGTCCCTAAGAGATCATGTTGCAATTGTTTTTCTTTCTGAATCACTTTGTGTTGCCTCGTATTCAGTTAATCGTGCAATAATTTTTCGTTAGCTTGCAACACAATCCCTTTGATACAGGTTTCAGCAGGGTACTACAACAGGAGCTAAATGACTCTGTGCCGAGGAGGACCCTGCTGCTTCTAGCTATGTCTCCGGCTATTGCAGGGACTATGGTTGAAGCCACGACCACAGAAACAGAAGGAGCCTGAATCATGGAACATTTCGGAAGAAGGCCTCAAGCACATCTTTGTACGAGTGAGGAGGAAGTTCTTCATGCATTGTGCCCGGCCTATCTCCGCTGCTGCTGCTCATTTCTTCCCCACTGAAAAGTATTCTTGTACATTACATCTCTGCACCCATATTTCTCAGATGCCATTTTTAAAACAGCCTGGAGTTCTTCCCCATCTATGTGAGTCATGTGAAATGATGGTGCTGGATGCTGGAAGTATAACTGATTCCTCTGTCAATTTAGAACGCTCTGATAGATAATTATTACAATAAACTACATTTACAATCAACAAATGATTACACATCCGCAGACATTGTGCCACTTTTCTCTTTCAACTTACATGCACACACAATGGCGAAACAGTTCATGTCAATACTTCTCTTTTGCAGTTGCCCATGGTCTCTTCATCTTTCTTGCTTGCTTCTCAAGTTATGGTCATAAACAAAAGTATTGATCCACATTTTGATCTGATAATGGTGCTTGAGGACTCATATACAGCTACAGTTTTATTGCATTTCAGCCTTAACCAAAGCAGTCGATTGACTGCTTACAGAGCAAATTTACAGAGATTGTATGCTTTGTTGAGGGGTTGGAGGTCAGTTTTGGATGAACTTTGGTAAATAAGCAGCATAATCGAAACGTTTCCTAAAGCTTAAACAGATATTCATTTCTAAAGAACTATTTTGTGACTTTGAAACAATATATTTTTTTCCATCAATGTACAGCTATAGAGGTTCCCATGATCAGACTATATTCACAAGACCTGTTGAGGGAATCATCACACCAAAATGCTCAAGTAAGAATTACATTTTTTACAACTCAGAATCGAATAAAATACTCATACATATGTTCATGCAGTGCTAAATGATATTCCAATCCGAGCCAAAGTGCTTCTGCAAGTCATTTATTGTTGTAAATACTGTTACAAACATTCTGGCTCTGGTACAGGAATGTAGCTCCATTAGCTAGAACATCACAGAAAAAAGCTAGCAAATAAATAAAACATTGCTGCTGCTTTACAGAAATTGTATTTTCCTTATATGTATATATTTTTTAAATCTTCCGACACATTGAGAGTTAATGTTTCAGTTACATTCAAAATGAGTGCACTTAAAAATACTTGTTAGCCAACCCTGCTGCCTGTGCTAGCTTCAAGTGCTTGTTTCCTCTGTTAGCTACATCGTGTCACACTAGCCTGACAGTCCATGGAGGGAAAATATCACTCACACCTTACATTATCTTGTGCTCTAGCTTTATGTCTTTTAACATAATCAGTTTTGTACATTCCGTTCACATTGCTCTCTAATGAAGCTTGCCTTTAGGCCAAACAAACAAAACCATTAGAAGTATATACCTTTACATAGTTTTCTATATATTTACTTTATATCTGTATTTTATATAGGCCTATCCAGCTGGTTTTTGTTTGGAGTACATTGGTTTAAATCACACTACACACACACACTAGAAGTAAGAACAGTACAGCGTATTCTCTGTAAGTCCAGAAATGGCTGCCCTTGCCCCTATTCCTCTTCAGGGTCCGTTTTACCTTCATAAAGAGTCCAGTAGTAGTAGTAAGGCCAAGATGAGCTTCATCAATGAGGTCATACATATGGAATAAGCAGTGGGTTTTAAAGTTCGAATATACAGTGGGGTACATGTGGTTGAGCCTTAAACTCAAGAGGGATGTAAACATTGTCGTCCAACAGTGGAAATAAAGCTGTTCAAAGCAAGACAGTTGGGCTGGTGTAGTCAGGTACATTCCCAGAGATGCAGAGGAGTAGGTTTTGAGTTAATAGCGCTTTAGGATGTGGAGGAAAAAAGTCTACACTAATAAGATCGAAAAGATTGAAAGTCCAAACTGGCCTTTAAAAAGTACTTGTTTCCGAGTTGTTTATCACTTGGAACATTAGTTTTAACCTCAATGACTAACCCGCAATCCTTAGTAAACCTTAGAGTCCATCATTAGTCCACACCCACCCACCCCCCTCCCTCCTCGTAAAAACTCAATTTGGACTGGAGAGAGACAACAACAGTGCTACATTTTAAAGGACAGTCTTATTGCAGTCACGGGGATGTGTTCTGTTTAAAGGAACACTTGAAAAAGAGAGAATTCAATTTAAATGAATTCAGAAATTTGATTTGTATCTTATAAATAAATACAAATTACATCTTACACGTTATTTCCTTTTTGAATTGAGTTAGTTTTAAATGGAGCACAATGGCTCTGCAACATTGTAAGAGGCTGCAATAACATGAACCATTTATTTTCCCCTTTAAAATAATTTTTAAAGCTTAGTCTTTTGACACTAAATATGTTGTGATTACAATACATGTGCAGAACCTGAGCCACATGAACATTCGTAGCCAATGACAATCATCGTGTTAAATGAATGGCATAGAAGGCATTGTGAAAAAACAAACGTTTTTTGAATCTGCTACTGTATGTGAGTTGCAGACTGAGATTCACTTATATTTAAGGTTCATTATCCTGTTGGTTTATTACCTCCTGGAACCCTCTTCTGTCAGTAAAGCCGTTTTAAAGGTGATTATATCTGTTTCAGTTGTAACACAAATCCTTCTAATCACTGAAGAGTAAAATATTTTACCCAGAAGACCAGCAGCAAAGACCTCCTCACTTTAGTCCCTTAAGGCCCAGATACACCGGCCCGAAATCGGCAGTAAATGGGAGTCGGGCCGAACATGAGCGTGGACACGCCCTATTCGGAGTGGTGTGCGCCGCACCGTCGGGTCTTTTCTGCCGACCTGACGCCTTTTCTTGCCGATTCCACCGGAAGTCGGACAAAGGGATAACACTGATTGGCTGTTCAGCTAGCGAATCAGTGCATGAGAAGCGTTAATGGAAGTGAGGGAGGTAAACAAATGATTTAAAATGGAAAATGGAACACACACGGACAGCTATTTCACCTCATCGGTTTATAGAGCTCCTGTTCGTTCATGTTTTCAATGGACGAGAGTGAAAATGGAAAGAAAAACGCCATTTGTTGTTTGTTTATATCACGGAGTCTGTTCTTCTTCTCTGTCTTCCGGTTGTTGCCTCTTTTGAATGATGAATACACACTACCGCCACCTGCTGGTAAGGAGAGTTATTGTCACTCACGCATGCGCAGTTCATACGTGCTCGGCTCGGATTTGCGATGTGTTCCAGTGCGCGAAGTCGGCAAATACGCAGGAGAGTCCGGCGACGCAACAGTCGGTGTCGGCGACTTCTCAGGTGACTGGCCGGTGTATCTGGGCCTTTACCTTGTCTCACGTGATATCAGCACCTTTACTATACAAAATTACTTAAAATTGGAAAGCAGATAGTCAAGATCATCCAAAGCATTTTGAAGACAACATGCCGGTATGTCTATACCTAACCTGTTACCTATATTCCACGTTCCACAGCTGAACCTTTGTTTTTAAATTCTAGTTTTAGGAGGCGGACACTGATTTCCAGTGATTTAAAATCGAATGGGATAAAACACCAGTTGATTCATTTAAGAGGCACCACTTACATTTGAAAAAAATGCTAATGTACATTCTCATTTTGTGTATTAATACAACCAGGGTTCGAGTTATAAACTGATCTCTATGGGGGTCTTTAAAACTAGCACGCACACACGCACGCACACACGCAGCAGCAGCAGCCCTCTACTTGCTACAAACTTAAATATGAATAGGTTCAACTACGCACACACACATCATCTCGGCTCGCGCAGCACGCTCAAAGGCATAGATTGCGCAATCATTTATTGCGCACCTTGGCGGTGCAGCGCAGGCATACTGTCATTCAAGAGATGCGTAATTCTTTTGGAAAACATGTTTTTCTTTTAGCCTATTTACCTCGTTAACGTAAATAATACTCAATACATTGACACATGCATTATTTGTGATTAAAATAATGGTTGTTGCTAATGTATTAGTGACCCCCACATATGTATGATTTCACTGCGTCCGTGGGAGCTCAGACCTCCTTATGGGAGCTCAGCTCCCATTGGCTCCCACATAACTCGAACCCTGAATACAACATAAAAGTATCAAATTATCAGAGAACATTTAAATAAGAAAAAGGTAATGAAAATAATCATATTTCAAGTTAACAAAATAAAACATTGCACTTTGGATAAGAGTATGAGTCGTGAAAAGTCTGCAGTGCAGGAACAGAAAGTCTGTATTCAGGAACGTGAGAGAAACTGCCGCATGCCATAATACTACGCATCTCTTTGCCGTTAATACTTCAGGGATCTGTACTCTGCTGGGTTATAGGTATTCATAACTCAAAATATGCTAATAATCCTGATAATATGTCTCCCCCCTCCTTCCCACTCTTTCTTCCCCTTAAAGAAAATGTCACGTTACACAGTTAAACTCATAATAGAAATAACACAAATTGGGTGATTAAATAGTGCTACATATAGAAAGCTGTATATGGGATGTCTTTGCTGATAAATGTCTCCCTGAAATTATTCATAATTATATTAATGGAAAGCGTATTAACAAAAACAATTCACTGTTTCTTATTTCCAATTGAATAAAGGCAGCATTTTGCTTGTCATTGTGCATTCTCTATTGTACTGTTGGAGGCCATTCTCTCCCTCAAATGAATCAGGCCTTTCCTGAAGGAGGATTGTATTTTTAGTTATCAGTCTTATACTTCATCATCATATTTTGTTAATAAGCCTTAATATGTTCTTATCTGCTCCTCTTTTAATGTTCTGTCAATGCAGACTAAACCCTGATAAATGTGTTGCAAAATGCATATATTACAAACTGGGTATTTGCAGGATCTCGTGGGAAGTGAAATCTACAAAACCCAGCTGCAAACACAGAGAGAGATCTTTGGGATTGAAACTTTCAGCTGCTGTAACTTACACGAAACACCTCCTGAACCCACAGTTAACATTCAAAACCTTGGCTAAAAACTGGTGGCTTAAAGGGAACAAAACCATAAAATGTAGACTTTTAATGTGAAAACTGCAGCCAAGTTTCATAAGCAGTAGTTAACAAAAGAAAAAAAAAGCAAGTAGAAGCCAGATGAATGATTTACTGAATAAGACTGTTTTTAGCAAGAGAAAGCGAAAGTCAGTGACATGATGCCATGACTGTTGTTGAGCTGCCGAATTATAATTAGGGGCCAGCCTTTGTTTGTTGGTGCCATACTCGCCTATAGCTAGATCATTTAAAGTGGCTTGTATGCACTACGAGCAGTGTCCTGTGTACAGAGATCAGTAAACCCTGTACAATGTTAAGGAAACAGACTATACACATGTACAGTACATCATGCAGTTGAGTGCTTTGTGCATCCACATACAATGGTATGATGTAGTCCCGAGCACACTCCATTACCTATTACTACATTATCAAACCAGCAATGAATAAATCAAATTTCTATAGAGGCCAAATTATAAAGGCTTAATTTCACCAACCTGACGGAGCTACAGCTTGTGCTCTGTACAGAGGATACAAAACCTAATAAATGATCAGCCAAAACTGACCGTGACAATGGAGTCAGAAACGTATCTGTTGGAAATGTGCAGCGTCAACTCTTCCAAAGCAGCGGACATATGGAATGTGCCAAGGGGAAGTGTGTGCTCACACTCATCTGTCAGCATGGTTCACACTGAGTTACAGTAGCAGGCTCCAGCTTGGTCCCATGAAATGTAGCTAAAACATGAAAACTGAATAAAAAAACACATCAATAATTAGGTGGAGGAACTACGTGTATAAAGACATGAAATAGCAGCATGGCAGAAAGGACAGTCAGGGTTAGATGTGCAGATTGCTCATTAAATATAAGGTTTATAGTGTGTGAGAAGTTCTAATTGTTCTGATTAAACAATGACCATATAGTTAAAAGTTGCCTAAACTGAACATTAGAGATGCACTGAGGAACTGCTCCCAAGTTTGAAAGTGTGAAATGTGTTGAGGATTGCGGGGCACTACTAGGCGCAGAAATAGCAACAGGTGTAATCATCTTTCACCCTTTGTACATTTAGCCAAAGTAAGAAAACTAATCTTTTAGTGACGACAGACATTCTGGGTTTCTATGTTGTCACATGAAGATGAGGCAGAGCAACAGAACAATCCCACTAACAACTCACTACAGTCCACCAGCTGGGACCAGAAGGGTGCAGGGTGAGCGCCGGAGAGGGGGGGGGGTTAGAGGTGTGTGAGGTCAGAGCTCAGTCTTCTTAGATGTAAACAGGCTGCTCCTGGGCGGTCAGCAGGCGGTACATGGCTGCAGGCATTGTCTTCATGTGGATCTGAGACAGTCAAAAACAGAGCAAAGCATTTCATTGATGGACTTATTGAAGGTAAATGCCTTTGAATGTCAAGTGCCAAAGGGTAGCAGTCATTGCCATCCCAGACATCCCCAAGTTTAAGAAAAAACACAGTCACGGTGAAACTAATTGTGTCATACTAAGCACAATTTAAGAGGCCTTATTCTGCTTTTTGGCGGGTCTCTCTCTCCTGTAGTGTGTTATATAGGTTTTTGTGCAATGGTCTGCAAAGGCTAAAATCCGTGTTCCCTCCAACTCCTCCATTGGACTCACTACGAAACACTTCTATTGGCTAGCGCTCCAACACGTTGTACGTGATAGGCTAAAGGGCGGGACATGCAGTTGACTAATCACAACAGAGCTGACCAGGTAACCAATTAGAGCAGACTGGGCTCTGGTTTCAGACAGAGGGTGAAAAGAGGTGCTGCAGCACAGGCAGTATGAGAAAAATAAAGAGCTTTTTGAACATTAAAGCGTGGAGACATGTCCCACTAGAGACACTACATACTGATATGAACCTGAAAGTGAGATGAATATGGCCCATTTAAATAAAACGTATGAACTCTACACTGGGAGGTCAGGCTGGTGATTTAAAGCTCGCAAATAAGTGTTGTGCTGCTTACACTTGGTGCACTGGCATTCACCTTTGGGTGTCATGTAGCTGCTGCTGCTGTTTATAACCGAGCACACAGCGAGATGCAGCCCGTCCGGAGACATCTGATGCTTCTGCTCAGCAACCCAGCTCTGTCACTCCCTGCTAATAACTCTCATAATCATATGGCCAAGCCGAAGTCATGTGATATTTTTAACCCTTAGTTCTTTCAAGTGTTAGGGGGCAGAAGCGCTTTGGTTACCAGTGGTGTAAATGTACTCAAGTCATGAACTTAATGACTATTTTGACACTTTTACTCTACTTGATTATTTCTATTTTCTCATATTTTATACTTCCAGGCCACTACAATTAAGAAGAAAATACCATACTTTTAACACAACTCCATATTTTTTAATTACTTTAGTTCCTTTGCAGATTTGGATTAATGATATGAAACATAATCAACACATACATAAGACTTTAGTTACACCTGAAATAAGTTCACAAGCTACCCTGCAGTATACAGTCATTTACTTAGCTCCCACTCACCAGCTGCAACAAACACAATAATTCATCAGTAAATATAATCCAAAAATATGATATATCTTTCTGACCTCTGCATAGAGAGTATTTTTACATTGGTAAGTCATGTTTAATGCTAATGGTTTTGTACTATTACTTGAGTAACATTTTGAATGCAGGTTACTTACTTGTAACAGAGTATTTCGGTATTCCTATACTGTAGTATTGCTACTTTGACATATAAGTACAACAACTGAGTACATCCTCCACCTCTGAGTGTAACTATGTTCTTGAATAAGTCTGGTAGAGGATCTATAGCTCAGTGTTGGTGATGTCAGAATGCAGAGGGACGTCTCACCTCTCCCACAGCGTTGGACAGGATGTGGACGATCTTCTCATGGGGCGTGGCCACCACGCTCTGGCTGTTGATCTCGATGATGCGGTGTCCCACTCTGACCCCGCCCCTCTCAGCGATGCCCCCACGCATAAGGCTGCAGATCTGGTTATCGACAGATGAGTTAATTTTGATCGCAAATAAAAAAGTGATTTAACAGAATACAGACACAGTATCACCCACAATGCCGTTCTGGACGCTGAACCCCAGCTGGTAACGCAGGTCTGGTCGTCTGATGAGCACAGTGGTCACTGGCGGACATCTGACGATGTTCAGCTTGATCCCAGACTGGTTCTTCAGACCCTACATAAAGAAATGCACATGGTATCAGCGAAACATCACAGGGTTCACATCACTGCAAACACAGATCAGATCCCAGCAGCGGAAAAGAAAGACAGAAGCTGCAGTTCACAGGACGGAACCAAATATATTTCCACAGACCCTTATGTTAAAGTGCCAAACCTCACAGCAGAATAAAAATATTTCACTGCTTGGGACAAAAAAGTCTGAACGTGTTTTTTCTCTTTCTCAAAATGTTAATTTCTCCTTAATTACTAAATATCTGGACAAAGTCGTTGCCAGGCAACAACTTGAGGTCTTTGATAACACTTGAAAAGTTTGAATCTATCTTTTATCAGCATTAGTATTCAATTATTATTTATTTAACAATCACTCTCAGCACTTGACGCAGTAAACAATTGCATTGTGTTTGGCAGGGGGATATTATGAGTCAAAATTGTCTATTCATATTTCAAAGGAAATTGGTCGATGATAGCTTTGCAGTGCCCCCATTTCACAAAAAATGTTCTCTATTTATATATATATATATATATATATATTCTCGCTTGCAATTTACTGAATTTTTTGCCATGGCATGTCGTTTAATGTATCTCTACTTTTTTTATTAAATAAAGCCAAAACTGCATCCAACTAAACCTAATGAGCTTCAGTAATAAGTAGTGTATTCATTAAAGGTCCTATGTAATGCTTTTCTGGTTATTACCCATCCCCTTGTGTGTTATGAAGGTTTTTATGCATGTAAACGGTCTGCAGAGTCAAAACCCCTCAAAGTACACCCTGTAGCGAGTAAAACTCTAACACAGAAAATACCTGTCTATGCTGCCCCAGAACGCCTCGTTGGACATTTCTCATTTTCCATTTTTCATTTTCCATTTCTCATTTTCCATTGTTTGCTTCCTGGGTTCTGTGACGTGTGAACACCCAAATCAACAACAAATGACCGGATTGGCCCAAATGGACCAATCCACGGAGAACCTCACACACCAGGATCCCTTGGCTAACTAACAGGGAGTCCCATTGACTTGCATAGAGCTCCCTGAACGCTGGTAATAGACGAGCTGGGATGGCGGAGAAATGCTCTCCGCAGACCCATTCTCACAGCGTTATAAACCTTTTTCTTACTCAATATCAAGCCACACTTATTGTTTTTACTTCGGCTGTGAGTGTTTGTGTTTCCTCAGGATGAGTTTTGCTTGTTCTTGCTGTATCGCCGACCCGGAAACCTGCCCGCTCCTCGCAGCAGCTCGCAACAGCTCGCAGCAGCTCGCAGCAGCGGCGAGCAGCAACGAGCCACGCAATGTCCCGACCAATCAGAGCACACTGGGCTCACAGGGAGGGGGAGGCAGGAGCTCCAACAAGCCGTTTAGGACAGAGAGTGAATACACATACTATACAGAGATGCTGTATGAGAAACCAATG